CTCTCTCTCGCGCGTGGCGCCAATTGCAGTTGGTGGAGCGACTGGGAGTCGAAGGGTCGATGGAGGAGTGGACGGAGAGGACGCGCCAGTGGCTGGTGGAGCAGATTGTGTGGCCCCTCGTGCGCGACATCCAGGAGGTGACCAAGGCCGGGCTGCCCCTCACCAAGCCCCTCACGCAAGCGGTGTCCACGCAAGCCGCCGCCGCGAGCTCCGCGCCCACGAGCATGTGGTACTCGTTCCAGAGTGCTCCCCAGCCCACCACCACGAGCTTCTCCCAGGTAACCATCTCCCTTTCGCCACCCGCCACCCGCCACCCGCCACCACGGCCAAAGCAACTATCCAGCCACACGCAACCTAACTTTTCGGTTGCCTTGGGGTCGTGTCAGAATCCGGTGGTGCAAAAGAGGCAGATGCTGGAGAAGTACATGGACGTGCACGGTTCCCCGTCCCGCGAATACATCGTGCAGAGGGTGAAAGGTAGCAGTGTTGTTCCTTTCCCCCGCGTGGCTTCGGTCTGCTTCACAGCCAACCCGCCCGGTGGGTGGGGTGGGGTGGGGTGGGTGGTTAATGCTACTCCTCTCTGGGCAGAGCTCGCCGAGGGAGGGTGTATGGCTGCCTTCCGGTGGAATGGCGGAGGCAGCTGGCAGGGCAAGCCCTGGACCACGGAACTCCCCACCGACTCGCAGGTATTGCAAGTTACCTCCCTTTGCGCAGGATTGCTGACTGGGTCGTCGTGTGTCGTCGTCGTCGTCGTGTGCAGCTCTATCGCTCATACATACATACATATATACATTTATATATATCTATATAAAAGCTAATCGTGTGGTGCGCGGGATGGACCTTTCGTGGCTGTCCGTCCCCCCTTCTCTTCCTGCGCAGATCTTGATCCACCTGTTCTGCGCTCACATGGACGGTCTGTTGCCGGCTGATCCGCGCGCGGATAAGAACAAGCCCTTCTCCTCCCTCTACTACGTCCTCGCCCCCAAGTCCCCCGGTGCGTACCACAGCCGCGCCCGGCAGGAAACAACGCCCAACGCCCCCCCCCTCGACACATCATCATCATCCAGCAACCTAACTGACCCCCCCGGGGGGCCTGCTGCTGCTGCTGCTGCTGTGGGGATGCATTATGCAGACGCCGTGCCCACGGCAGCCAAGATCTACCAGTCGCACGTGCACCCGCCTCACTTCAAGGTGCTGGAGCACCAGGAGGTGTGGGACACCTTCCAGGGGCGCAACAACCTCTTCCACGCCATCTTCCTGTGGGTCTTTGCCGTGCAGACCAGGCTCGACGGCTTCATCGGCCAGGTACGCCCCCAGTGTGCCTTCTATCCTCATCCTCCTCCTCCTCCTCCTCTCCATTCTCATTGAGCGGGGGGGGGCTGCATGGGCACGAACACGTCAGGTACACCTGAGCGAGACCGGCCTCGACCGAGTCATCCGAACGAACGCGTGAAGCGGTGCCCCTTTCAAACGGAAAAGAGTTCTTCAAAGTGCCCACACGAGCGAAAACGCTGACACGCGCGCGCGGCAACGGTGGCACTTCGGGCCTTGGGTGGTGGCGGCGGTGGTGGCTGGTGGTCTGTACATGTAGTGGTGGTGGTGGCGGCGTGCTGTGCTGTGCTGTGCTCTCACGCCAGGGCTCCTCCTCCTCCTCCCAGGCGAGGGTCGGATGGCCGGCCGATGGCTGCCTGGGCGGAGGGGGACCAGCTGGCGAGGGTCTCCATCCATTCGGTCTTCTCCCGCAGCGAGTCGGCGGCCAGGAGCAGCTCCACAGGAGTGGCCGGGTGGTGGTGCACGATGACGGCGAACACGTAGCGATGGGCCGGGTGGTTGGGCAGGTCGCGCACCGCCAGATGTCGCAGGCGGGCCACCACGCGAGGAACTCCCTCGCCGCCCCTCCCCCTCACCTGGTGCAGCGGCTCCTTCGCGCACACCAGGCTGCCGTCCGCTCCTCCCGCCAAGAAGTACCGCCGGGACCACCCGTCCCTGGTCTTCTCGCTCAGCCATCCCTCCTTCTCCTGGCACGAGCGGCGCGTCTTTGGCGAACTACACGTCCTGTGGGGGAGCGTGGCCAATGCAATGACGGTCATTCCCAACCCCTCCCCAGCTGCAACCACGACACACACACACGACACACACGACACACACAACACGCGCGTAGATATTGACATGATAGCATAGCGGGCGCGTACCAGCAGAGGAGCTTGCCCTCCCACGTGAGGGCACACTTGCGCGCGCAGTACTTGCACAGGGCGAACGAGAGCGGGCGCTTGGCGGACAACAGCGCGGCAACTCCCAGATAGAGCTGCATGCATGTAGCCCCCCCCCCCGGGGGGGTCAGCAAGCTTGCCGCCACGCCACGCCCAAGCTGCCCCCGATGTATAATATATAAAATGATTGGGAGGGGGGGGGTAGGATGATGGGTCTCCCTCCTGTGGTACCTCGTAGAATTCATGGGGCACCACCTGCTTGATGGCAAAGGCGTCGCTCAGGAGCGTACCCCCACAACGGCCCACTGCCGCCGCACCGCCGTCGCCAACAAGCCATTATTGGTCAGCGGCGGCAGCGCTGCCCGCACAAGCGAGAAGGAAAGCGAGGAGGAAGGCGGGGAGGGCAGCTCACCTGGACAAGTGATGGCGTAGAACGAGTCCGCCGTGGCCACGAGCCGTCCCGTGGCGATCTGCTTGAGGCACGTCTCCTGCACAACAACCACCAACCAACAACAACGACCAACAACAACAACCAACACACGACACATGACACACACGACAACACAACCCCCGGATGGACGAGACGAGAGAAACCGAAAGCCGTCAATCATCCGTCGCTTGGCCATAATTGGGGGGGGGGTGGAGTGTAGGTACCAGGAGACAAGAGCGGCACAGGAGGTGCTGGCAACTGCCGGCCAAGGCGCCCGCCTGCAGAGAATTCACGCCCTCCTCGGACCCGCCACTACTGGAGACGTTGACGCGGCACTGGCTGCAGCCTACTCCGCCGTCGCCGCGTACACACCACCATCACCACCACCAGCCACCACCAGCATTACCACCAGCCACCACCAGCTCGCGAGTGAGTATGACGTGAACGGGAGAGTGGGCAAGGAGCGTACGCAAAGGGAGGGACGCCACATGAGGCAGGCTGAACAGCGGATGGTGGCAGCACCCGGCTGCTGCTGCTGCTGCTGCTGCGGTGGTGGCCGCGCCGTCGGGCGGGGGCGGCGAGGCCGCGATGATCTGCTGCCGCTGCTGGTCGCAGAGAGGCCTCAGACTCGACTCGTCGGGCCGCTTCTCCTCCTCGTGGCCGCGGCCCTGGTCTTCGTCGATGAAGGCGAGCGCAGCGGCGGGGCCGACGCCGGAGAAGCGAAAGAGAAGCCGCATCATCACCTGCCAGAAAAGCAATCAGGAGAACTGATCAGCAACCAACCAACCAATAATGACCAACAACCAACCAATCACAATGTGCTGCTGCTGGCGGCGGCGGCGGCGGCGGCTGTGTGCGGCGGCTGGTGGCTGGTCATCGTGGAGGGGGGAGGGGTAGGGTAGGCGGCCTTGTACGTGGTACTCGGAGGAGGAAAGGGGCGGCAGGCTGATGCGGTCTACCGACCGGACGAAGCTGTGGTACCCGTCTCCCGCCGCCTCCGGCTGCTGCTGCTGCTGCTGCTGGCGGTGACGATGGCGGGCG